TATGAAGCGCCGTGGCTTGGTTTTGTGGTGGTTTGTTGGTGTCCCGTCCCCCCCAAATGCGGTATTTATTTCGGTTCTGTAGTAAGCAGATGGCGGGGGGCCAGTGCTTTAAGCGCTTCATCAGTATGTCGATAAACGACAGTAAATGCTGTGAAATGCTATGTTGAGGGAAAAATAACCACAGTTAGAATAAAAAAAAAAAAAATCTGGCCTGCTCTTTGCCGTGCTACTTTGTGTTCCGCCTTTCCTCCAGAAGTAGTGTGTTTTGGCCTAGAGATGAGATACGGTCTTGAACAGTAAGGTACATGGGCAGCAAGCTACAGCAAAGCAGTAGATGCTGTATTCAGTTTTCAAAGTAGCATAGGCCAAGACAGTAAGGAACCAAAGCCAGCCTGTGAGTGACACTGAATTTTCAGGTATTTAAAAATATAAAATCACTGTCTAACTTGGAAAAACTTTTGCTGAGCTTCTCATGGGTGCCTGTTGGCCCTGTCTTGCAGGGTTATTGTAACTATTTCAAAGTGTGGTGGTTTTGTGTGTGTGGTTTTTTTCTGTTGTTTGGTGGTTGTTTTTTTTAACTTTAGGAGCAGTCTAGCATAGATTTAGATCGGATTCCCTTGCAATGGCCTTGTCTGGCAGAGGTAGTGCTTGCTTTTCTCTCAGCACTTGTGTAGTCATGCTGACTTGAATCTACCAAGGAGGCGTCCCTTGTATCCAGAGTTAGGTCTGTACAGCTGGTGCCTGTCTGTCTTCCCACCAGTGCTTCCCAATGCAGTGACCGCTGATTTGGTGGCCTGTTGCTCTGCTGAGGCTCTGTACTTGAGCCCTGTGGCCAGCATGTTTCCCTGTCACCTGGTTGCTTTCCTTCCTTTTCCTTCCACCTTGTGTGAGCTGTAGCGATGGTTATAATGCTTTGAACTTCTGTATCCTACCCAGGCCTCCTGTATGTGTTGTGAAGGTGTGAATGGGATAGAATAAAATTAAGTCCCTCTTCACGGTACCAGTCTGGGGTGGCAAAGAAGCCTCAGCATCAGGAGGATGCACACTGTGACTTTCTGGTGCCATCCAGACAGTTACTGCTTTTAGCAGTGTGTTGTGTCCCCTGAAAAACTTGCCTGTGTTAACTTCTGGAAGTGGCAAAGTTCTGCCTGAATGCTCATCACCCATTTCTTGTTCTGTTCTAGGACCCAAATAAAGACACAGAGTGGAATGACATCCTGCGCAAGAAAGGTATCCTTCCTCCAAAGGAAAACCTGGAGGAAAAGGAGCGTGCAAAGGAAGAGGAGCAGCTTGCTATCCTTCAGAAGTCTCTTGGTGAGTGACCAGGCCAACTCAGGCAGCAGCAGCAGGACAGGTCTTAGAATGGCTCCTGGGGGAAGCTTGTACAAAGAAACGGCCAGCAGTAATGTTTATATGCCCGTAAAGCAATGTGTCCCTTTCCAAGTCTGTAAGCGTAGCAAAGCTTCTGCTCATATCGGGTGATCGTCTGTTAATGGTATCAAACAAATACATTCCTGAACACGTGGATTCTTCCAGCACAGGGAAGCTTTATTCTTGATGTCAGCTCCATATTTTTATAGAGGTAAATGTTTGAAAACAAAAATTAGAACAGTGCCAAGGGAGTCTGCCACATGACTGTGCAAGTAAAAGTATCTTATGACATTACCTGTTGTATGCTTCCTCCTTCTCTCTTGTTCAGGCATCCCTGCTGTGTTGTGTCTGTGTTAGGTATGTCTTTGCTGCAGCCAGCAAACTTGAAAGCTAGTTTAGGTACTTGTGTGCTAGTGTAGACAGCCTTCAGCTTGGAGTCCTTTACATCATTGTCTTTCCATCTATTTGTCAAAAGTGCATAATATTTTCTAAAAATCCGGTAACAACAATACTTCAAAAAAAGCTGTATTTCCCATAGTTAATCTGTCCTTAAAGTACATTCTGTTGGACTAATAAGGGCTGATCAGTTTTAATGCTGGAATGAGTTTTTTGCTGATTTGATGTTTCTTCCATTCTAGTGAAAACTTATGAGGACATGACTCTGGAAGAGCTAGAAGAGAATGAAGATGAATTTAATGAGGAAGATGAGAAAGCTATTGAAATGTACAGGTCAGAGCAGCATGCAGAATTTGGCTTTAATGAAAATTGGAGGTTTTTTCTCTTACATGCTGTCAAATATTGTTGAAGAGAAGAAGGATGTTGTTAGGCCTGGTGACACAAAAAAGGGGTTGTGTTTCTGGTCTCTTGTAGAGCTTCTAAGTGTCTTTAATAGGATAACTGGGTTTAAATTCAGTGCCTTTTATCTACAACCTAGTTTTGCAGAGATAATGTGCATCTACTGAGTGCATGGCTGGGGATTCTGAGAGCTTTGAAAATCACCTCAAAGATTTCTCAATTTCTTTGCATGAATGAGATTAAGGTGCTGCAGACTTACATAATTACAGTGTTAGTTTTCCATTATCTCTCTCTACCATCTCTCATGGTTTTTGCTTTTTTGCCATTTAGTTTGGTAGTGTAGTATCTGCAGAAGAAATGTCTGCTGAGGGCAGAAATGACGAAAAAATAAATTCATGAAACACAGTTGTATTTCTTGCACGTTGGTGGTTTTAACTTGTGATGCCAATATAAGAGTTGACTATGTCAACTTGCTTTTTTTGCTCTGGGGTTTGAAAAAATTTGTAATGTGCCTTCGAAGTCTAGGTTTCAATGAGCTCCTTTAAGAGTTGTTCTGTCAAAAATGCACCTATTTTCAAGATCTCTTTCCCATTTCTTGCTGTTCAGGCAGCAAAGGTTAGCAGAAATGAAAGCAGCTCAAATGAAGAATAAATTTGGGGAAGTTTTGGAGATTTCGGGGAAAGACTATGTTCAAGAGGTTACAGAAGCTGGAAAAGGTATATGGGTAGTCCTGCACCTCTACAAACAAGGGTAAGAATTTGTTTTTAACCTTTAAACCTCTCACTGTCAATAGCGGAAAATACTCTAGACAAATGTGTAGTTATTGTGGAAATTGAAGAACTGATTCTGGAGTTCTAAGAAATAAAAAACTGAATCAGAATCATTAAGGTTGGAAGAGACCTTTAAGATCATCAAGTCCAACTGTCCGCCCAACACCACCATGCCCGCTAAATCATGTCCACAGGTTTTTTTGAACACTTCCAGTGATGGTGACTCCTCCACCTCCCTGGGCATCCTGTTCCAATGCCTGACCACTCTCTCAGTAATTTCATTACTACTGAACTTGGTTCTAAAATGATGTTACCATGAAGTGGCTTTTTTATACACCTATACAGCACAGTGTGACTTCTACCATAGAAGTAGCTGCTGCCACTGAAATATCCAAGCTTTTCAAATTATTCTGGATAAAGTGTGAGGGGCTGTGCATTAGAAGAATCACTGTATGTCTTTAGCCTTGTTTCTAGAGGCATAAAAATTGAGTGAACAAGGTTTCCAGTCCTGTCAGCATGATGGAAAGACTTGTCAGAAATGTCTGATAAGTTGCAAGAATTTTCTGGAAAGGGTTAGATATACTTGATTTTTTTTGTTGTTGTCTCTAACTGCCTTACAGGTGTTCATTTTCATTTTCATACTTTCTTCCAGGAGCTGCTTTTCTTTCTATTTTGCCCTTGCTATTTCTAATTGCCCTGTGTGATTTCTAAATGTCGTATCTTCATAAATCGATTTCCCTGTATGATAGGGGGAAGGTTGTATGGCTAATATCTTAAAACAAAAAACCCAGCACCTGCCAAAACCTCTAGTGATGCTGATTTCCTTCTGAATGCTGGATTATTGGACAACAAAAGTATTCAGAAGTTGCTTCTGGTACATTTGTCTTTCCATAAATGCTACTCATCAAGCTGGTATTTCTGACCTTTCTTCTGGAGCAGATTACTGTCTAATTCATCTTTTATATTTTCCTTATGTATGTCTGTTGCTGTTCTTCACAGAATTCCACTCTGTGCCTTAATAAATCAACATATGAGGGGGCTTGCAAGAAAGTTCAGAGATGTGAAATTCATCAAAGCTATCTCTACTACCTGCATTCCCAACTACCCCGATAAGAACCTGCCTACGATATTTGTCTACCTGGAGGGAGACATCAAAGCTCAGTTCATCGGGCCTTTGGTGTTTGGTGGCATGAACCTGACAAGGGATGGTGAGTGTCTGCATCTTTGATCTTCCAAAGGAGAAGCAAAACTGCTTTTCTGGGAATGAGAGAAGTGAGGCTTAGGATGAGAAGGAAGGTACTAAAAATCATATTAGATTGGTGTTTTTGCATCCTTATGGCTCAACAACATGTTATTAAGCTATCTTGTAAAAGCAGTGAGTGGCTGAGTAGGCCAACGTATAGATATTTATCTTATGTGTGTGCAAGTATTTGCACCCTGTTTCAGGTGAAACAAATTTTCCTGAATATATTAGAGGATAAATGGTACCCACACACATTCTTTGGGGCTCTTGTACCTGAATGACTGACTGTGCCCCCAATTACTTGATAATCTGTGCACTTGATAACTAGTGCTTGCCTATTGCACTATAATGCTGCTTGTTTCATTTTCAAGTCGATGGCATGTATTTGTCTGTTGTACGTTCCTGACATGCAGGTTTGTCGTGGTTTAGCCCCAGCCAGCAGCTA